CATTCAATTTTAGGCATTCAATTTTATGCACACTGTCACCTAAATTATTTGCAGCTCAAGTATGTCATGCTCTTTAAATTTCCCTCTGGGTTCAGTTTTCACAGCGTCCCACAGTTTTGATATGTTATATTTTCATTATCATTTGATTCCAAATGCTTTCTAATTTCCATGAGGTTTCTTCCTCCATACATGGGTTATTACGAATTCGAACCATGTTGCTTGGCTTCCAAACATTTGGAGATTTCCTCTTTTTTTCTTCTTCTCTTGATTTCTTGTTTAATTCCACATGGATAGAAAACATTCTGAACAATTTCATTTCTTCAAACTTTGTTGAGATTGGCTTTATTACTCAGGAAGTGGTCAATTTTGGTAAATGTTCTCTGAGCCCTTGAAAGGAATGTGCGGTATCTATGGCGGTTGGATAAAGAGCTCCACTCCTATCAATGGAGACACATTTGTTAATTGCATTGCTCATATCCTCTATACCCTCATCGATTTTTTTTTTTATCAGTTGCTGAGAGAAGGGTTTTGAAATCTCCAATTATGACTGTGAATTTGCTAGTTCTTCTTTTCTCTGTCAGCCTTTGCTTTGTATTTGGAAACTATATTATTTGTGCATACTAATTTGGAATTGTTATATCTTCCTAGTGGATGACACCTTCATTATGCAAACTCCCTTTCTCTCTAGCAAAGCTTCTTGCCTTAAAGTCTACTTCCTCTAGTGTTAAAATAGCCAAGCCAGTTTTTCTTGACATGTTTGCATGTTGTACTTTCATTTCTACTTTTTCTGTGTCCTAATTAATAAGCATCGAGCTAGGGCTTGGTTTTTATCTGAAGATGGCTTTCTTGTATTAAAGATTTTCTGTTTAGCTTTGCATTTCAACAGTTTTATTGTGATGTGCCTTGGTGTGGTTTCCTATCAGTTTCTCTGCTTGGGTTTATGCTTCCAGAATCTGTGGCTTGACATCTGTGGCTTGATATATTTAATTGGTTTTTTTAAATGATCAATTGTCACTTCAGATACTGCCTCAACAGCATTTTTTATCTCCTCCCCATTGGGGACTCCAGTTACACATATGTTAGAACTTTTATGAGGGGTGCCTGGGTGGCTCAGTCGGTTAAGCATCTGACTTCAGCCCAGGTCATATCTCATGGTTCGTGAGTTTGAGCCCCGCTTCGGGCTCTGTGCTAACAGCTCAGAGCCTCGAGCCTGCTTAGGATTCTGTGTTTCCCTCTCTCTTTGCCCCTCCTCTGCACACACTCTGCCTCTCTCTCTCTCAAAAAAAAAATATATGTGTATATATATACACACATATATATATATATATGTGTATATATATATGTATATATATATATATTTTTAAAATTGCGATATGTCTCTTATGGTCTTCTCTGTATTTTTCGTATTTCTCTCTCTGTGCATAAGTCTTTATATTTTTCTATTGACCTATCCACCAAATCATTCTCTCTTCATCTGTGCCCAACCAGCCGTTAAATTGATCTATTTAGTTGTTAATCTTGGATAATACATTTTTTAATTCTAGGACTATATATATATATATATATATATATATATATATATCCCAGTTCTCTAAGTCTCTGGTGGAATCTCCATCTTTGTATTTATTTTCTTGAGCATATTCACCATTATTTTAAGGCCCACAGTTGATAAAGCCAATATTTAGATCACTATGAATCTATTACCGTATTCTGTCTTTTTCTCTTGGTCCTATCTTAATATGCCTGGCAAATTTGCAATGAGTGGTGAACATTAGAATACAAAATGTGAACACTATCTGGCTGAACCTTCAACTTCTGCAAGGTAACTGAGCAGGAGCAAATAAACTTAATCCACATAGGGATTGAGTTGTTTCAAGGCTGGATTTCAATCTTTGAGAGGCCTGATCTACTTCTAATATGCCTTGCTCCTAGAACACAGTCCTTTAGGGGTCAAACTGAAAGCCTGAATGTTCACCAGGAACCCACCTCCTAGGAGACCCTGAATCTAACCGCTAACCCATAACCCTGTGAGCCTGCCAAGAGCTCCATTTAGCTCTGCAACCTTTGGGCTGTGGTTTTTGCTTAGTTTCCATTGACCTCAGTCACTTATGATAGCTCAGGTTGATAACATTATGTCTGTGCTCCCCTCCTCTGTGGCCCCTCCGGTCTTGGCCCCTCGAGCCCTGAATGTCTTCGTAGGACTGATCCCATTTTTGTCTTCCCAGATTGCCGAAAGTTCTGCTTATATTCTTTCCCCTTAACAGACCCTTTTGCTCAGTTTCTCAAGCTCAGAACCCATGCCACTTATAAATCAGCATACCCTGTGAGATGAAAAGCAGCACTGACTGTCAGGCTCACCTTAATGAGTTTTTCTTCCCTCCAGAATCATTGCTTCTAAAGATAGGATAAATTGGTAGCTCTCCAGTGCCTTCGAACACATGTGTTAAGGTATTTTTTCCTGTTCCCCCACCCCCTGCCCAGTCTTTAGGTGTCTTTTTGTTGCTGTTACCATGGTAATTTTTAAAATTTTTTTAATTGGTTTATTTCTTTAATACTCCTTTTCCAGTTGTTCTCAGTAAGAAGTCAGCTGTACTAGAGGAGAGCTCACCCTGGCCTTTTGGCTTCTGTATCATTGCATATGATAGATATTCCCTTTTTCCCTTCCTTCTTGAAGACTCAAATAAATTACCAGCTCCCCTTGGAGCCATCCCTGCCACCCCTTTCAATTTCCTGCCATCCAGGGGTTATTCATGAAGAGCTTCCTCCTCTTGGCTCCCAATGCCTCAGCCATGTCCACACTGCCATGCCACTACTTGGCCTTGGCATGATTTGCCAGCAAAGAGTTCCAGGCCAGCAATCCATAGCATCCTACAAATGGGAATATCATATTTGGCCCATGCTGTATGTTTCCAATGTTAAAGTCATTGATAACAGCTAAGAGTCAGGACACAAACAATCTTAACTGTAGCAGCTCTTAAGAAAAACTAAAAATCTGGGCTCTGTGAACCTAAATTCTATATAACAATGACTAGCTGTGTAAGAGCTGTTTCCCTTTCATGGGGTAATGACTCACCAGTTCTCAGTCCCTGCCGCTCAGGTTGTAACCCAGCACCTGACTCATTTAAATTACTTACCAACTACTACTGGCATTTGAGTTTGTAATCCTGGTCTCTGTGCATGTCTCACCACTGGTCGGAGAGCTCCATATGAACAGTCTGTCTTTTCGTCTCTCTCCCAATCCCATCCCTGGCATGGCAGAGACGGTGAACCCTTATTTGTAGACATACCACTACAAGAATGCTATGTAAGTATTTTTAAGGCTGTGAAACTATTCTGGAGGATTCTGTAGTGGCAGATACGTGACATTATACATTTGTCAAAACCCACAGAACTGCACCACACGAAGAATGCACTCTAATGTAAACTATGGACTTTAGCTAAAAATATTTTAATCTTGGTTCATCAGTTGTAACATATATACCATACTAGTGCAAGATGTTAATGATAGGGGAAGCCGTGAGGTGACATGCATGTGAACTCTGTATTTTCTACGTAATTTTTCTGTCAACCTAAAACTGCCTTAAAAATAAAGTCTATTAGAAATGGTAAATAAGTGCAAATGCTATTAATCAGAGTGATAACAGAGGGCAACTAAATCTGGCCAAATAAGTTTCTCCCATGGGATTCAGATCAGGACCAGGTCAAGAGCAGAAATATTTACCAGAGGATGGATATCCATCTATACCACCACTTAATTTTTTTTAATGTTTTATTTTATTTTTGAGAGAGAGAGCACTGAGGGGGACAGAGAGAGAGAGAGAGAGAGAGAGAACAGGGGAGGGGTAGAGAGAGAAGGAGGCACAGAAGCCAAAGCAGGCTCTAGGCTCCGAGCTGTCAGCACAGAGCCCAATGCGGGGCTTGAACTCACGAACCGTGAGATCATGACCTGAGCTGAAGTTGCATGTTTAACTGACTGAGCCACCTAGGTGCCCCTATACCACCACTTTTAGGGACAGCAGAAAATGAGCCCCTGCTGTCTGGGGTTATGGGTGGGGAGTGACCAAAACACACTTAAAGTGATAGCTGGACTGGCTCACACACTCTTGGTCAGGAGTGATGGAAGGACAGGAGGAAGTTCAAATAATAGCCTACAGAGGTAAACCAAGTTGACCCCCCAAATCAACCCCAAAGGCCTGCAGGAGAGCAACAAGACCCCCATTTTCTACTCTCTGGGACCTGGACCCAGCCAACTCTATGGTGCCATGAAGGAGTTTCCAGGTCTGATAATCCGTCTTATGTTTCGTATTCAGCACAACAGGGGACTTCACCTGCCTCCACTCTGCTCACAAGTTCTAATGTGCTAATTAGTTTTTTCCACAGCACCCCCCCCCCCACCACCACCTTGTTTTCCCCTGCATCGGTGTTACTTATCAAGCTCCTAAAGGGAAAAGAGAAGCATAGGCTTGTAGACTGTAAGCTCCAGGAGAGCAGGGAACAGAGTCGTTTCATTCACTGAAATATGTAGGTATGTCACTGATGATTGTTGAGTGAGCGAATATAGAATCCTACAAAATGTGCAGCTTCAAATGACAAGGTAGCAGAGGGCGGCCATGGGGCCTCTGTTGTGAAGGGTATCACATAAGCCACTTCACAACCAAACATGCAGGTATGTTCAAGGACCCATCCACATCGTGCATCCTCTGCCCCATGCCATCCCATCTCTCTTCGGGCTGCATGGCTGCATGGCTGCGGGCATGCTCAATGAGCCCCCTGCTGGGAGCCGTGGGCACTGCGAGGTGACCCGTTAACTCTTGCCTGCTCCCACCTGGGGAAAAGGATAAGGAAAAGGTCAGCACCAGCTCTGCTACAAGATCTCTTTGCGTATGTCGAGCTGGATGGTGACCTGGACACCCTCCGAGTGGAATCTCCATGGAAAATAAAAGTATGCTTTGTCTTTTCGATGAATGGATTTGGTAAAATGTTTTCTTACTTTTTCCTAGACATCGCCTGGTGGTATTACCAGTATCAGAGAGGTAAAAAAGTTTAAACTAACTTGACTACTTTGGTCATATTACTTTCAAAAGAAGAGCTTCTTTTTTTAACGTTTATTATTATTATTATTTTTTTTTTTTTTTTTTGAGAGACAGAGAGAGACAGTGTGAGCAGGGGAGGGGCAGAGAAAGAGGGAGACACAGAATCCGAAGCAGGCTCCAGGCTCCAAGCCAGCAGCCCAGAGCCCAACGCAGGGGCTTGAACCCATGAACCATGAGATCATGACCTGAACCAAAGTCGGATGCCCAACCGACTAAGCCACCCAGGTGCCTCCGAAAGAAGAGTTTCTTAATCAAATAGATTTTGTAATTAGTCTACTTATTCACCAATTTTCTTTGCCCCTTGTTAGCAAACACCACCTACATAGAAACAGCTGGAAACTTTCTTTTAGAGACAAGTTATAGGAAGAGGTTTGCTCCTAATAAGAAACGGATATGTTTTTCTCTAATGGGTAACAAGATAATATGTAAAAGCTCAGAGCCAGTCTGTGACTCAAGCTTGGTCACTGCTTGGAATAAATGACCTGTATTTCTAAGTTGTCTTTTTCCCATGGCCTTAACCTCTTAATCAAATCAACATTTTCTGAGGCAGTTTTTCTTGTTACTTTATCTCTTTTAAATTTATTATATTTATTTCCTATAATCAATTTTAAGCCCTTGGTGAAACAAAGTGGAATGTGTTTAAATAAGTAGTAAGGAGAGAAAAGGTGGTTGACTGGGTGGTGAGTGAAGTAAGAAAAAAGGTAGTTAGGTGGGAGGTAAGCGGGCAGAGATCAGGAAGGGAAAAGTCAAATGCCTGTGGGGCCAGGAAGGTAGCATAAATGAATGAAGTGAGCCACAGGCGTACAGGTGGAGCACTAGAGGCTCTGGCTGCTCAGAGGGAACAGCCACCGCTCAGATTTCATAAACTATTTCCTTGTGAGAATTTGAGACTAAAAGTTGTTAGATAATCCCATTTTCTAAGAGAAATAAAATATCCGAATTTGTTGATCTCTCATCTTTCAATAGCGGCAGTTAATTCCAAAAACAAAAACAAAAACAAAACCCATCACATTTTATAAACGAAACAAGACCTATTTGGGGGCTGCATTCTATGTCAAGGGCCACCATTTTGTAACCTTGAAAACAGATAGGTGATTATTAAGTCCAACCCAGAGACCCCACGATGAAGAGACTATTTTCTAGTGCAGGGAGAAGGAAGTCATCATGGCCATGGTTTTTGGCCTTGGCTGTGGTCATGGTCACAGAACTAACAGAGGAGATTCACTAGGGAGGAGACTAAAGGCTTGGGTCCTCTTACAACTCATAACCTAAGGGTATGACCTGTACAGAGCTTGTTAGGAGCATAGCTCCTAATATTGCAAACTTTGTCACATTGGTCACAAACCAATTTGCAGTTTGAGCTTAAGGGAAAGGGAAGCCATTGTAGGGGCACATGGAAGCCAGATCTATAAAAGAGACCTGGGACTGGCTCGATTCTAGGTCCCATTCTGTCTTAGGCAAAGCCATCTAGTGATAGAGCTTGGAAGAGATCTCCTGTGCTAGAAGCACTTAACATGTCTCCATGTGTTTAAAATATCCAAGACCTAACTGAAAGTACAGAAAAATGCCATAATTAGGTGCATTTTCTTTTTCTGAGAGTCTAAAGCTTTTATCCCACACTCAGAAGAGTCCGTGACCTCAAAACAATAAAGACCACTTAATCTGAATCATCTTCTCCAACTTCTCCTTCAGTCTGGGAATTTCCTGCTGTAAATCCCCTCCCGTTGATTTTTTCTATCTTGCTTTACCCGCAGTAATAGGCAATTCATCAGTGTTTAAGATACTCATGGTTAGACAATCTCCTTGTCTGTTAAGACACCCATCTTTCCAATACTCGCTCCCCACCACACACAAGGTTGTAGTGGGACAACAGGCATGAAAACATTTTACAGATTAACAGTATTTTACCAACAGAAGGTATTCTAATTCTTGTTATGTAGTTACCACCATAGTACTAAATTTCTAGGTTAATTTTAATGTCTATCATCCAAACTCAATCTGACTTAGTAACTGACTCACCATTACTTTTAATAACAAAAATAATATCAAGCAACATTTCACCTTGCAGACTCTTAACAGAAGAAACTGTCAAAGAGGCTCCCCACCTGTTAGTTCTGTTTCCTCTTCCTCCAACCCGAGAGCTGGGCCTCCCTCCTTCCTTTACTGGGACCACCTGGGCAGCACCCAGGGACTCCCTGAGAGAGGGGGGTCAGTGCAACAGGAGGAATGTGAAAACCTCAGCAGCCCCTTCAGAAATTTCTTCAGAATATATTTATAGTGGCTGGAACTAGATGAAGGAGGGGAAGGGAGAGCAGGTATGAGGGAGAGGAATGCTGAGATGTGGGCCCTTCTAGAAGGTTGCCACAAGTGTAGACAACTCAGTGTTTTCCATTCACAGGTCATGACACATGAAGGTTAACACAATTTTACAAAGAAATAGATTAAAATTGAGAACAGAGTACATCTCACATCAATAGGGAAAAGTGTTTAAGGAATTTTTGCTTCAAAATATGTCATAAAAATCTTTGTTTATATGTATGTGCATCCTGGAATGTGCTGTTAATTGTAGCTCTTACTATGAAATACATTAAAACAAAAAATTGAGAACCACTGGTTAAAGACTATGAAATACATTAAAACAAAAAATTGAGAACCACGCAGGCTACTTCCCAGCATCTTGAGCCCCAAAGACATGAATTTCCTTCAGTGACTGATGTTACCACAGCCTGACAATTAGAGGGTGATGAGAAGCAAAACCAAGCCAAAGCTTGGCAATCATCATCCCAATATTCAGATATTACGGAATCAAATACGGAAATTGATCCCTCTGCCCAGACAGCAAACAAATCATTTATTGATAAAGTCTAGTTCTCCCTTAATGAAGTGGGCTTAATATTTGATATTTCAGTAACTACTTAGTGCATTTATAATAGAGGAGATGGTAAGTAAGTGCAGCTTATGAATCAGAGAGATTCTCACAGACTTCCGCAAACAGACTTCCCTGATCTTGTGAAGAATTCAGTCACAGGAAGATTAATAGAAACAAGACAATCTTTCAAAAGAAGTCTTTTCAGCTTCCGGATAAGTTAAAGTGAGAATGGTATACTATATGCATGCAAAAATACATCATTTCTTCCAAAAAATACATTTCTGCCTTCCTTGTTTCCATTTTAATAGTTCACCTCTCTTCACACTTTTAAATATCTGTGTTTTTCAAAATAAAATTGCTATTAAATCTAACACTGGGAGATTCAAACCAATAATTTTATTTCTATTTTAAAATGAGCTAAAAATATAGGCAAGTATTCTGAATTAAATTTATGTGGGGGGGGGGCGTTGGAGGGGTGGATCAGCCCTTTGATTTACATAGAAATGCTGCAATGTTAAGGTAATTGCCACTTGTTAGCTACAAACAAAACAATAATTAAAGGCTCTGTAAGAATTAAAAAGAAATCGGTCACTTGCAGCTATGTCGTATAAACAGAGTATCTTATTTATATTAAATAATCTGCCCTACTCCCAAGAGGATAAGGTGATACCAGTTGCCCAGCACACAAGAAAGACAACCACTGGGAATTATTACCAAGTTCTTCTGCCTCTCCCTGGCACCTTCCCAAACATCCATTTCCTTAGGGAAGATGTCTAAGACGCAAACTCATTTGGAGAGTTTTCTTTTGTATTAAGACCACAGTCTCAAAAGGAAAAGTGACAATTGAAGAGAAAATCTGATAGCAAGAGCTTGGCACTGACTAGACAGATATACTCAGTGGAAAGCACTTGCTCACCCTGTTCTCTGAGAAACACAGCCTGCCCCCCACCCTCCGTGGTCATGGGATGTGATGTGGAGTGTGGCGTTCCCAGCAGCTTGCCCATCTCATCACTATTCTTGCCGGCCCAGATGTACAGTCGTTCAGTATATGGATTTGCTTATGTCTGCATGACAACAATGGACAGCGAAGGTTAGTCGACAATTGATTCTTGATTGGAATAAATTTATAGAAAGCATCTGGCAGGACCCAGAGGAAAACACTCATTTATCCTGCTGTGATGGTAAAGTGTGGAAACCTCCGCTTATTCAGTTTGTGGTCCTTCAGTAGGAGATGGGCAGATTTCTTGCTTTGACTGACCCTTTCTCAATAACTGGTGAAAAATTATATTACATTGTCATTCTTATTGGAGGAACAAACTGCTACTTCAGACAACTGTTTTTGGAACCCCTCAAACGCTTCAGAAGCTTTGATTTATATCAAGTAGTTCCCATTTAAGTCACTTGCCTATTATTTAAGAATGTCTAGTAGACATTACAAAACAACACTGTAAAATACACTCGTACTCTTAAATTAATATTTAACATGCCATAATTGGAACTTTTTGCCAAATTGGGTTAGCCTTCATCTATTCGTACCAAATGGTAAGAGTTTGCTCTACATTTTTAATAGAGTTGTTTCCCTTTGCTGTTTGAAAGCTGTTAATCATTCCACTCACTTACCTGTGTCTCTAGAATATTCACATGGTTCAGTGGGCAGCAAATTGAATGTGCAAAGAAGTTATTTTGAAAGAAAGGGAAAGTTTTCATTATGGACTTATTTTTAGCACTCCTGCCTTCATCTCCACTTGGAACGTGTTCATCTCCAGCCTGAAGCTCCCTCCCTGAGTAGTGCCTGACACCCCTGGGGTAATGACTGGACTGAGTGTGAGACAGAAGTGACTGGGTTGGGGGTGGGGGGGTGGTCAAGGCAGAAGGATCATCTGCAGTGTGACCCCAGCCCCGAATCCCTTATCCCGGGTCATAACACTACTCTTTTGACAGCCCAGACTGTGGTCTGACAAGTGGCCACTAAGGTCAGCCACTCCAATGCCATCTCCTCTGGTTCCAGATAAGATTGAAGATGAGCTGGAGATGACCATGGTTTGCCATCGGCCTGAGGGACTGGAGCAGCTGGAGGCCCAGACCAATTTCACCAAGAGGGAGCTGCAAGTTCTTTATCGAGGCTTCAAAAATGTAAGGCCCACAGGGCATCTGAAGGCCCAGGCAGGATTTCCCATCTGGAGCAAAGCTCTTCCAAATGTCAACAGGGCCCATCAGAGAGTTTTCCATGTGTGTAGTTGTAAAAGGAAGGCCAATTCTATAAAGACATGAGAGCAAGATCACCTGGCTAGAAAGAAAGACTTCAGGCAAGAATGAGGCAATCTCCATAGATGGGAAACTGGCCAATAGCCCAGGAACTTCACAACATGGCAGGCACAACCTTGGAGAATTCGCCTTGGCCCAGCTTCTAGCCTTAGTGTGACCCATTCACACTGTCAATATTGTCAGTGCCCCAGAACTGACGAGATTTAGGTCTGTGCTGAGCTCATAAAGACTGAAGTGTAAGCCTGAATGCCCATGTATTAATTTGCCGTATTATTTCATATATTAAACCTCATGACAGCCTTGTCAGAAGGTACTGTTAGCCCCATTTTACAGGTTAGGACATTGAGGATCAGACACTAATTCACCCAAAGTTGCAAAGCCTAGAAGAGGCTGAGCCAGGATCCAAACCCAGACCTTCCTAGGCCCAAATCCCAAGCTGTTTCTACCTCACAGTGCCAATTCTCTGATGATGTCTCATCATTTTGCAAGGCAGCTTCATTCTTAAGGCAGGGCTATCTCCCGGCCACTCACCTGGAGGCACAGAAGTGTACAGGTGTTTGCCCAGTCCCTGTTCATCAGGGATGATGAGGAATCCTAAACTCCAAGGCTGGACCCAGTCTCCTCCTTCGGAGCCAGGCAGCCCTCCCTCCCACTGACTCTCTCCCCTTCACGCAGGAGTGTCCCAGCGGTGTGGTCAATGAAGAAACATTCAAGCAGATCTACGCTCAGTTTTTCCCTCATGGAGGTGAGTCTGATCTTGAAAAGGTCCTTCCCAACTCCTTCTATGGTGAGCAGCCTTTCTTCCTCCAGGTTCATGTTTCTTGTTATCTGTCTCCTCCTCAACAGCAGGGACAACTCAGAGTAAGATTCCCCTCCCTTATTACAAGATATGGAATTAGCTAAAGTTTTAGCAGAAAAGAGCTCTGAAATGGATTCTCTCCAAGAGAGGAGAAGAGATTAATAAAGCAATATCATAAAGTCTCATATCAGCTCTAGAAAGCAGGTACTGTATCATATCCGAGATGGACAACAACGTCTCAGAGAAGTTAGCAATTCACTCAAGATCAAGATCAAGATAACGCAGCCAGTAAGTAGCAGAGCAGGATTCTATCCCATAAGTGTCTGATGTAAAGCTCCGCCATGTTGGTTCCACCATTTTGCTACACACTCTTCATTCTTTTCCTTACAACAGCCGAGGGCAAGGTGAAACTTTGAAAAATAATTTTAATACCAGAGACTGTAGAAATAAATGAATCCAAAAAGATGTAGGGAACATAAGCTGTGCATAGAAGTCCAGGTTAGTGAGTGTGCCAGGCCCACAGACACTCTGTTGCTGTGCCTGACTCCTGAAGGAAGTTGCTCTGCCTCCATGGGCCTAAGACATCAACGGCTCTTTCCCAAGGCTTCTATGAGTCACGTGCCATTTCACTTCCTGCCCCCAGGAGCTATCTCCTGCAGGATCCCTTCCCTGGGTCCTGATGAAATGGAGATCCAAGTGTCCCAAACATTTCTTGAGCTCTGTCTCTCATGGGCCTCTTCGGCACAGATGGGGCCCTCCTAAGTGTGGGACCCTGTACAGGGCCCCTCTGCAAGTTGGGGAGCAGCTTCACCCCATGAAGACCCCAGAACCACTGCTGTTGAATTCTGTTGAGCCACAGTTTATTGAGTTTTGACCATTTGGCAGGAATGGTGATGGTTAAGATGATGTGACTATGTGAAAAGTTTAACATACTTTTTCAAAAATTCCAAGAGATAGGTTTTGTTACATCCCTTTGTACAGAGACAGGAAAGAGGAGCTCAGAGAGGTTCTGCTAGATGCCTGTTCACACAGCCATATAGGGAGAGAGCTGCTAGCCAAGCCCAGGTCTGTCTGCTCCCTAGTGAGTACTCACTCCATGGCATTGCACACCACTCAGAAGGGCGCCTTCTTCCCACAGTTGCCACGTCACTCACCCACCAAGAATTACCCATGTGAACCAGCAGGAGGGTCTTCCTCCGGGGATGGCTAGATGTAGGGGTGAGGGCTTGTCTTTGTCCTAAGAACTTTCCACCTAACATCCAGGACAGCCACATGGGTCCCTGTTTACACAGTGGGCTTGCCCACACTGCCTTTCCTCCTTTCCATCACCCCAGCAGCACCCTCTTCTCTTCCTTATTGTTTCCAAGCATTCTCCCTTCCCTCTGTGAAGGCCCGGCTCCCGTCACCTGCCTTTCCTTCTGTGCCTTTCAGATGCCAGCATGTATGCCCATTACCTCTTCCACGCCTTCGACACCACCCAGACAGGCTCCGTGAAGTTCGAGGTATGCTTGTCTCAGAGTCACGGGGTCCTCACCATCTCCTCTTCTAAACTGTGTGCTATTGATGGGACAGTCGGGTCCTCAGATGCTTCAGTCCATCATCCATTTAACAAACATTTCCTGAAGATAGAGAAACAGCAGCTGCCCCACCCCTCTGGGAACTCGGGGCCTCAGAGGGACTAAGGAAAAGAGTGTAACAGCTCACGTTCACACCGAGCTTACCACGAGACAGACTCCGTACTAGTGCTTTGCATGTATTAACTCATTTAATCCTCATAGTAACCCACATAGTAGTGTTCTATTATTTATTACCAGTTTACAGAAGAGGACGGTGAGGCAAAGAGAGATTGAGTATTTTTTCCAAGGTCAAACAGCTAGGAAGAGGCAACAGAGGGATTTGAACTCCGGTGGTAGACTATACTGCCTTTCTGAGGCTAACTGCAGCTGTGGGATAGGGCAGTGCCACAGGAGGCTGTGTTTACCTGTGTCTGGAGATGTCAGCACATACTTTCTTCCTCAAGGACGCTCTGTCCCCCCAAAATGGGGCAGGGTAGGGAATGGAAGGGGGGCACTTTCGCTGAGCTTGGCCATGTCCTTCAGGGGACAGAGGACATGGGAGATACCACTATATAAAAGCAGTCATAGAGTCTGACCCAAAGACAGAGCTTCCTCCCACCCCAAGGCTTGGTGGTTAATGTCATTAATGCCTCTTTCATTTGTCAGGACTTTGTAACTGCTCTGTCGATTTTACTGAGAGGAACCGTCCATGAGAAGCTAAGGTGGACATTTAATTTGTATGACATCAATAAAGATGGATACATAAACAAAGAGGTAAGTGAGCTGAGGCCAGGGTCACGAAGGAGGCCCAATGAAGGCATCTAATTAAACAGTAAACAGCCCCGTCTGGAGAATGAAACTGTCTGAATGAGCAGGGATCTGCCTTGGGGCTAACAGAGAGATTCCTGGTCACCTTTGACCTACCCCATTGCCCCACCCTGCCCTGCCCCCAAGTACTCAAGAAAGGATTAAGCAGATTCATTTATTGTCACTGGGTCACATGTATTCAGTGTACATTCCAAAGGGAATGCAAATGATTTTTGTGTAGAGTTACTCTTCCTAGGAGAACTCACATTTCATAGGTTAATAGTCACAAATTAAAGCTAAAAGTTGGAGGGGCGCCTGGGTGGCTCAGTCGGTTGAGCGTCCGACTTCGGCTCGGGTCATGATCTCATGGTTTGTGGGATCGAGCCCCGCATCGGGCTCTGTGCTGGCAGCTTGGATCCTAGAGCCTGTTTCGGATTCTGTGTTTCCCTTTCTCTCTGCCCCTCCCCAGCTCACGCTCTGTCTCAAAAATAAATGAACACTAAAAAAAAAAAAAAGCTAAAAGTTGGAATGGTAGAATTGCAGACATCATCCAGAAGAGAGAAGGGAGATTGCAATAGGATCACACTGGCCACAATCTATTTTGCCTACTAATAAAACCACAGAAGGGGACGATGGCAAGTGCAGCCATCTCTTAACAAATCACAAATAATGTCTGAGTCTTCACTGCCTGACACTTTTAGAGCCACCTGTGGTGTCTAGTCAGTGAAATACCCACAGGTCTGTCTTAAAACTCACTTTGGTATCTACTGTATTTTGGTATCTCAGCTGAAGCTTGGACATAGCATCCTGTAACATCCCATTCCCTGAGCTTCTGAGTGCCAAGCCCAGTGCCTAGAGTAATAGCATCTCCAGGTCTCACCCCAGCCCTGCAAATTTCCCTCTGACATTCAGTCTTCATTCATTCAGTCGTGCATTTGCTCAACATATATTTGAGGGCTTATTAGGTGTTCTAGGTGCTGAAAATCAAGTGATGAATGATCCCCCACATGTGAAACCCTAATATCTACTAATAACAGATATGTTCAGTGGATTCCAAGAAATACATGTAATGGGATAACAGATGGCCGTTTAAGATCATACAAAAGTATTAAGATGTAAAAATTCATCTTTTAAAATCGCATGTATAATATTATCTCAATTTTTCAAAGAATGTAATGCTTCTGTACATACTCAAATATGTGCTATGACAAAATATTCAAATACTACTTTACAAAATAGATAAAGAAAAGACCCTAAAATGGGACTTATAACACGGTTGTCAACCTTGGTTCAGCCATAATTCCATCACTTGAATAATCTCACTATCTCCACCTCCCTCTTCCTTGTTTGTAGACCAGACAATATTGTTCCCATTTATACCCATCAGACCTCTCTTGATGGCAGAATTAATAAAGAACCCCTTAAAAGAAAAAGAAAGTGTGGATAAGCAGCTTCCTAGAAAAGATAGCTGGATCTTCCCCCTGCCAATCATTTGGAGATAATCTCATCCAAATTATAGGCAATGAGAATCCTGAGACAGCAATCAAAATTGGTCTTAAATCCTTCCTCTTATAAAAGGTACTCGGGAAAGAAACCTATAACAATGCAGATATGAAGGACTTACAAAGCCTACATTTTAAAATAAACCCATGGGTAGAGACGTTTATTTCCTATTTCTGTTTCTTGGGAGGGTCTAAGACAATGACACCCCTCCAGCAACGAGGACACCTCGCACCCAGACCTTGGTGTCTGAATATCATTCTCCAGCTAAAGGAACCAGTCTCCTTCAAGAAGTGGGTGATTCCAGGACTGGGACCGAGAAAATGCAACATGGGCCTGGAGTATCTTGTAGTGCTGGAAAGTACTGGGGTGCTTGAAAAAAGAGAAAGAAGAGGGAAAGAAGGAAAGAAAGAAAGAAAGAAAGAAAGAAAGAAAGAAAGAAAGAGGAAGGAAGGAAGGAAGGAAGGAAGGAAGGAAGGAAGGAAGGAAGGAAGAAGTAGTGAGGGGGGAGAGAGGAAGGCTGGGACATGTCAAAAAGCTGCAGGAATAAGTCTGAAAGAGTTCCTAATCACCAAAACCAGAACAATTTGAGCAATATATCTAATAATGCTAGTGTTAGGGGTGCCAGAGTGGCTCAGTCAGTTGAGAGTCCCAACTCTGGTCGGCTCAGGTCACGATCCCAGAGTTGTGGGATCAAGCCCTGCATCAGGCTCTTCACTGAGCATGGAGCCTGCTTCAGATTCTCTCTCTCTCTCTCTCTCTCTCTGCCCCTCTCCTCTGCTTGCACATACACTCTATCTCTAAAAAAAAAAAAAAAAAAAAAAGTTAGTATTAGATTATAAGGTATAAAATAAAGAACACATCCATGAGTCCCTACTAAATTATATATATATATAATTATAGATTATATGTATTCAAATAATATGTGTTCAAATAAATAATAAATATGTACTCAAATAAATAATTGAATTCATAGATAAATAGGGGATAAGGGACAATTCTTCCTTAAAGAAGAATTCTAATTAATAAATAAAAAAGGAATAAAGGAAATACAAAGTCAGCATTAGGCAGACACCACAGTAATTATTTTTGCAGGCAAGATCCACTGAAAGAAACTAAGATCAGGGGAGGAACTTGATAGGCACCCCCTTTAATCAAATGATCAAGGTTAACATCACCATTAACACGATATATCAAGAACCACTTTGATAGGATGCACCAAGAAGGATATAATATCACTGATTTGGTATTCTTGTCAAAAATGCATAACTTCAACCTAATCATCAGAAAACCAGGAACTAACACGAGCAGAGACATTCTACAAAATAACTGATCAGCATAATAACTGACACTTCATATCAGAAGTGCCTTGCTCTTGAAAGACAAACAGAAACGGTCACAGGTTAGAGGAGACCAAGGGGACACAACAGTTAGATGGATGAGAGATCCTTAACCATAAAAAAGACACTAGGGGAAAAATCTGTTGAGAGGTGAATAAGCTTGATAGTTTCCTTAATAGCACTGCAGCATTGTTGTAGAAATGTCAATTTCCTGGGTCAGTTTCCTGTCAGTTTCCTTGTGCTGTGGTTTTGCAAGTTAAAATTAGGAGAACCTGGGTCAAAGGTATAGGTGCATGCTCTGTTCTATTCCTACAGCTTTTGTATAAGTCTAAAAGTATTAATAGGTTAAAAACACATACAAATAAAATAAGCACCTGGAATGAAGAGTAGCAGACAAGGACCCCAAGATAGAGGCTGTCCCCTGGGTCTCCGTAGACACTATTTCAAATATCTCAAAGACAAGACTGCCTTCCTGCACCCTATTTCCTGCATTTGGAGGAGGGGCCATGGAATACCACGCCTGGTCAGCGTGATCAGAACATCACAGACCCACTCAACAGTTACTGGGCTCCCAGCCCATGCAGAGACCTTAGCAATGAAGGAGCAAGCATGTCCTCACGAGTTCACGGTCTTGAGGAAACAGATCTATAAACTAATAATAAGAACAATTTAACTATTTTAATAAATATTTAATGATCACTTATTCTGTATCCAGAAGCATTGCAAGATTAGAAAGAAAACATGACAGCATTTGTAACACCTTTCAGGCCTCATCAAACAAGAATGAGTTTGTAGAAAGAGGTCTTTTGGTTACAAATATAAAAAATCATCAAAATAGGGGCACCTGGGTGGCTCAGTCAGTTAAGCATCCAACTCTTGGTTTCAGGTCAGGTCACGATCTCACGGTTTGTGAGTTCAAACCCTACATCGGCTCTGTACTGACAGTGTGGAGCCTGCTTGGGATTCTCTCTCCCTCTCTCGCTGACCCTCCCCCACTCTTTCATGTTCTCTCTCAAAATAAAGAAATAAACTTTTTAAAAAATCATCAAAATAAATTAGCTTAAGCTGAGAGATTTCCTATAAAGATACAGTTAGTCTGATGGAACTTGTGTAAACTCTATTGAAACTAGAAGGTTGTTAGTCTCCTCTCTCTCTCTCCACCCCCTTTTGTCCCCTCTGTTTCCTCACCCTCCTCCAGCATTGCTGAGATCAAGATGGCCACACTCCTCTGCAAGAATGACAGGTTCAAGTTGCTGGCAACAGAGGGGTGGGGAGGTGCAAGAGGAGGTTTTAGTTTATAGAGTAAGGGTTCTGAGACACTGCCTCTCTGCAGCTTCTTGAGTCCTTGTTACTGTTTCTGTCTTCTTCAACTGTTTTTCTCAGAGAGCCTGAGTGTATGTGAGTATACAGTATGTATGTGTGAGTATATGTGAGTGAGAGTGTGAGTGTGTGCGTGTGTGTGTGTGTGTGTGCAGGTATGCATGTATGTGCTCATGGGAACAGGTGTCTGTTTCTCCCCCCACCCCCACCTCCCTTCTCCTTCCTCTACTCCTTTCTCTCCTCTCCTCTCTTTCTCCCTGCATTTTTCTCTTCTTCTCTATCTCTACTTTCTGTGTATTCGCTCCTTTCTCCTCTTCACAGAACTTCTACTCTTCTGCACAAGTTTTTGATGTCTGTTTTCACTCAACCTCAGCTAAAACCTGGAAATGGCTTGCCTGTGGCACTGACTCTGGCCCCAACGCCACTTGACTTTCGAGTCCCAGGGTTCTATCACTCCTGATTACAGTTTCTGTGCCTCATCACCTAAACTTCTCCAGGGAGAAAAACAGAGTAGCCCAGCTTTAGTCAGACGTCCACCTTTGTTCCAAATTAGCAGTGGTCACAGAGACAGGTCACCCAGTACAAACACAGCCACCCAGGCCAACCATTCAAGGGAATTGTGGAATAGGGAGAGGGTCTTCCAAAAATGGAGTGTGGGCCAATCAGTACACAAACATGTTCACCCCAACCCCCCATATAACCCCTCACTGAGGATAATGCTTAAGAAAAGGTAACCTATCCAAGAGCTTCTGAAGGCAAAGAGAGTGTCCCACTGCCTCCTCTCAGAATATAGCCCTTCAGCCCTTCTCATCAGCTGAAGAGAGTCCTTTTAATCACTTTCAATCACAAGGGGGACAAGGAGCCCCAAACTGTCACATAAAAAGAGACTGACCTCATGTTCTCACACTGTGCTTCCATATCCTCCAGGAGATGATGGACATTGTCAAAGCCATCTACGACATGATGGGGAAATACACATATCCCGTGCTCAGAGAAGACACTCCAAGGCAGCACGTGGATGTCTTCTTCCAAGTAAGTGCACACACGTCGTGTGCGAGCTTTAAGCCCAACTTAGACCAGCCAACCCACAAGCCTCTGAGCAAGTGGTGTGTGTCCAACTCTGTCCTATGCATTGTAGAAAACAGAAAAGAATTACAAAATGCGTCATCCTCAAGTAATAGATGATCTCATTAAGCAAGCAAGTATATACTAGACAATGGAACAGGGAAGTGTATTATGAAATAGAAATGCTACAGTACAGCTTCTACATTCCATACAAATTCTTGGTGGAGCAGAGTAACCAGAGAAGACGTCATTAAACACATTTGTGTAAGTGTTAAGCATTTATGTCTGGGGAGTAGTGGGAGAGAAGATTGGAAACAAGGAGGGGCTGGAGTGTGAGGTCTTGCATTGAAGAGTTCAGTCTTGCTTGGGTGACTATAGTTATTCCATGAGTGGAAGAGTAGCATGACCACAGTGGTGTTTTTGTAAGAAAGTAAGCGAGTGGTAGAGTATTGAAGAATGTCCCAGCTCATTCTAGTCTAATCCTCTCACTTCGCAGATGGGAAAAGCAGAGACTCAGAGAGGCTTAAAGACTCACTCGAGGTCACACAGTAAGTGACAGAGACAGAAGTCGAACCTCTCACATGCAGTGTTCTCTCTGCCAGGTGGACAGGCTGGGGGAGAGTCTGGGGAAGACATGTTAGGGTATCAACAGAATAATCTGGTGATGAGGCAATGAGAGTCTGGAGCAAGTCTCTCAATTTTAAGGAAGCTTATGGGGCTCAAAATGCTGTAACCAGGGAGTTGGGTGGGATTGTCTGGCCAGTGAAAGACCACCTGAATTCTTGGGGCAAAGGTGGTTAACAAAGAGCAAGTTTTGGAATGCAGATTACCAGGTTCGTTAAAGTGCTTCCTGTTGTGTCTTCCAGAAAATGGACAAAAATAAAGATGGCATCGTGACTTTAGACGAATTTCTTGAATCCTGTCAGGAGGTAAGGAGAGACCTCAGAGCACAAAACATACTAGATCCAGGAAAGAAAATCTGAGGCCTGGGGCCCTGCAGAAGGGAGAGCTGAGATACCCTCTCTACCTCAGGTAGAATTCCATTCCATCCCCTCCTAGAGCTGGGCTGTGGTTGGTCTTGGCTAAACACAGGCTGAGCCAGACAGCCTGAGAAGGACTGTGGGGGGATGTGAAAGGCCAAGGGGGTCTCTGTGAAACCACAGGCTTCTCAAATGGACAACACTCTGCTTTTTCAACAGGTTTCCAGCTCAGTGACCCACTCCTCAGACTACGAGGGGGTAGCTGGGGAAAAAATCTAAAGCTGTAATTCTCAAGCCATGGTGTTCCCCAAAATTGCCCAGATGATTCTGAAAATGAACACTAGATTGGGGGCGAGGCTCTAGAAATCTTTTTTTTAACACAAATGTCCTGGGGATCAATGCTGCTAAAACTTTACTGTGCAAACCAACCTCCTTGAGGATCTCCTTAAAATGCAGATTCTAATTCAGTAGGTCTGGAGCAGGGCTTGAGGCACTGCTTTTCTAACACTCACTCAGATGATCCTGATCCTGCGGGTCCTTGGAAGACATTTTCATTCTGCAAAAGGATGGACTAGCCCAGAGCCTCTGCCAGCAATTGAACTAGAAACAGTTGCTTTTATCTAGTTTAGAAAAATGCATTTCTATCCCCCATTTATTTCAGAAAAGTACAGTTACTCTGAGCTCACCCAGTAAGAACTGCAGATACACAAAGCAGAGGAGAAGTTATCAATACATACTGAGCACCTACCAAGTTTCAGGTATTTTGCATAAACCTCACAACCATCCTGAGAGGTGGTGCCGCTGTACGAGCTTAGCCTTGGTCGTGATATTCAAAATGTTTTATAATGAGAGTGGACTGAGAACTAACCACTCTTAACTGACCTTGACCTCATGCTCAAGGAGCTGTGCCCTAGAGGGATCCTTCTAAGCTTGCCGACCCACTAGCTGATGGATCTTTGGGTGCTCCAGCGGTCCTGTGCCAGTTACCAGATAGCCAGAGGCACAGATGCTGGATGGGAGGCTCACTTACCAACAAGGCTAGAAATATTTCAACATGTTAATCATCATGAACTGGGTGCACGGTAGTATTGATCATACACATTTTAAAGAAGAGAAAACTGAGACATTGCAAAGTTGAGAGATGTGGCTAAGGCCCAGTAGGTGACAGAGATGGAACTTGAACTCCATCATTCTGTTTTGTTTTTTTTTTGTTAATGTTTATTTATTATTTTGAGAGGGAGAGAGAGACAGAGTGCGAGCAGGGGAGGGGCAGAGAGAGAGAGGGAGACACAGAATCCAAAGCAGGCTCCAGGCTCTGAGCTGTCGGCGCAGGGCCCCCTGTGGGGCTCAAACCCATGAACTCTGAGGTCATGACTTGAGCCAAAGTCAGATGCTTAACCGACTGAGCCACCCAGGATCCCCTTGAACTTCATTCTAATTTTAAATCCTATGCCCTATTTAAGTGTGCTTTTTTGACTTTGCTTAACAGGTGAGTGAAATTTTCAAATTTGTTTAGTTTCTCACATTAGCAACCTCTATTGCTCTCCATTAATTCACTCATTTCTTGCTCACAACCCACCCATAGATATATATGGTGATGGATGCTACTCTAACATAAAGAAACTGAGGCACAAAGGGAGTAAGGTCACCCAGCTAGTAAATGACAGATCCACGATTTGAATTTAGACAGCCTGACTCCATAGACTTCTTTTAAAAGTTCTAGAAACTTTTAGGGGCACCTGAGTGGTTCGGTGAGTTAAGCGTCCAGCTTTTGATTTTGGCTCAAGTCATGATCTCTCCATTTGTGAGTTTGAGTCTCACATTAGGCTCTGTACTGACAGTGCAGAGAAAAGGATTCTTTCTCCTTCTCTCTCTGCCCCTTCCCTGCTCATGCTCTCTCTCTCAAAATAAATAAATAAACTTAAAAAAAAAAAAAGGTCTAGCAACTTTTAAAAGATTTCAGACACCCAGAATCAACTTTTCTCTTTGTTGATTTTTTTTCTATTATAGGTATGCTTTCTACTTTATCATTTGTGCTGTAAATTATTTTTTTCCTTCTGTTTCATTTTAATTTAATTTTTAGGTTTTCTTTCTAGCTTTTTGAGATGGAGATTTAGATCATTTATTTTCAACCATTCTTTTCTAACACGTGCATACAGAGGGATAAAATTTCTTTTAACTACTGCTCTAGATCCCATAGATTATAATATGTCATATTTTCATTATATTTTAATTCAAAATATTTTCTTCTCTGACCCACGGACTTAGAAGTATGTTGTTTAATAGCCAAACATGTTCTACATTCAATACTTATTTCCTAGGGAATATACAATAGAAAAATGTAAATGTAAAATAGAGAACATATAATAGAGACATGCAAAAAGAAAATCAATAAAACCAAAATTTGCCTCTTTGAAAAAATAAATAAAACTGATAAATGCTTAGCAAGATTGATTCAAACAAAAAAGAAATAACACTCAAGCTATCAATATCAGGAATGGAAAGGGTAACAACACTACAGGTTTTACAGACATCGTAAAGATAAAAATCAGTTATTCAATAAATTTGGCAACATACGAAGTCTACAAACTCCTTACAAATATAATTTATCAAAACTAACACCAAAAGAAATAGAAAATCTGAATAGTCCTATGTGTGTCAAAGAAATTGAATCCTTAATTTAAAACTTTCCCATAGGGGCGCCTGAGCGGCTTAGTCAGTTAAGCAACTGACTTAGGCTCAGGTCATGATCTCACGGTTTGTGAGTTCGAGTTCCATGTCAGGCTCTGTGCTGACAGCTCAGAGCCTAGAGCCTGATTCAGATTCTGTGTCTCCCTCTCTCTCTGCTCTTCCTCCTCTCTCTCTCTCTCTCTCTCTCTCTCTCTCCCTCTCTCTCTCTCTCTTTCTCTCAAAATTAAACATTAAAAAATGCTTTAAAAAAATAAATAAAACTTTCCCATAAAGAAAATGGCAAACACAGATGTCTTACCTGGTAAATTCTTTAAAACTCTTTCTAAGGAAGAAAGGATGTTAATGTCATACAAATTCAGAGAATAGAGAAAGAAGAAAAAATTCTCAGCTTGATTTATGAGGCTATCATAACCCTAATAAGAAAACATGACAAAGCTGTTACAAAGTGAGAAAATTTTCAGGCTAATATATTCCCTCTGGACACAGGTACAAAAAATCAAATCCTGTAATATGTTAAAAAAAAAAAGAATAAATAGGGTTTATTACAGGAATGCTATATTGGTTTAACATTCAAGAATTCATCAATATAATTAATGACATAATAGAATTTTTAAAATGCAATCACCTCAGTAGATGGAGAAAAATCATTTGATAAAATGCAGTTGCCCAGAGCTTCTAAAAAGAAGCAATACTCACTGTTTCACTGGATAATTTATTTCTTACAAATTTCTTAAGGCCAGAGAAGGTGCTTCTTGCCTTGAGTTGCTTACTTTCTGGGCCCCCACCCCCGTTTCTCATTCCCTTGCAGAGTTCTTTCTGCACAAGAAACCCATGCTGGAGACTTGCTCACCGTAACAGAACTTCTCAGGGAAAATCCTCGGAGAGTTCTAACTGTCCTCTCTTTTCCCCTTCCTCCCTTCCCAGGATGACAACATCATGAGGTCCCTCCAGCTATTCCAAAATGTCATGTAACTGTGAACCCAGCCATCTGGCTCTCAGAGACGTTGTACTGAACAACCACTTCTTAACACCTTGCTCTGCCCTCGTTCTGATTTTACACACCGACTCTTGGGACAGAAACACCTTTTGCATTTTGAAAGAATTCTCCACTGGAGACTTTCTACGGAACCCAGCATCATATGGCTCAGTCTCTGATGGCCAGCTCTTCCTTCTCCGTCTTCTTGAGAGAGACAAGATGAAATTGGGTTTGTTTTGGAAGCATGCTCATTTCTTCACACTGCTGCCCTATGGAAGGTCCCTCTGCTTGAGCTTACAGTAGTGCACACTTTTTTTGCTTGCGTGCCCCAGCCCACTGCCTCCAGCAGACCTTGATGCGTCTGGAAGCAAGATGACCTGAGCCAAATGCACACCATCCTCTGATGGCCTCCCAAACCAACGTGCCTGTTTCCCTTCTTTTGGTGGGAAGAATGAGCATTACACAGAACAGTATGAATCCGTATATGACTAGATTGGGAGAGCCAGCACCTAACATATGTAGGCTAGAACTGAATTCTTAAGCATGGCATTGTCTGGTGACACAAATTGCCCACATCCTTTGTTTCCAGAGGAAAGAACCAATAATTCTCTCTCACATTGGCATCTGTGCTGGTAATGCAAGTCCCTTAATGTTCCCAGGAAGAGAGCCAATGCCCGGTGGTCCATGCCCTCACTCCATCTCCTGCTAGAGCCCAGCACTGCATGCCCCTCCCAGAAAGCCCAGAATGCCTGAAAATTGCTGTAATTTTATACCATGTTCTAATCAATAAACAGAACTATTTCTTACACTCTTAATCTTCATTTCTTTCATGACTCCATTGGACAGGAGAGGTAAGCTGTGAGAAGGGAAGGCTAGTCCATTCATTGGCATCCAGGTATTAGTACTTGCTTTGTGCCAGGCCCAGTGCCACTCAGGGCACCATCCTCCCCTGACCCCAAGCACATATCCCACTTAAAAGCAAATACTGTGACTAGAAGCAAATACCTCTTTGAGATGACATGCTTCACAACACCTTCTTTCCAACAAGATTGTCACTCTCAAGACCCTCTGGTGTAGAAAGTCTGGCGTCTCATGTGGTACGGTGGGGGATACAGAGGTGAAGAGGTGGCCGGAACTGCCTGCTGAGGGGCTTGGAGTCCAAGGGTTGATGAAGTGGCTTCAGCCTATCAGCAACAAATTATTACTTATGTTGGACACCATGTCTTAGATTCCCCATTTGACATCACTTTAAAAAGATTTAGAGCTAACCATGGCATTCTTGGAAGGAAAGCAATTTGCTGAACCCCTAGTATGTTCCAGGTGCTGACTAGGGGCTCACATACGTTACCTCATTTCATGCTCATGTAGAGCATTCTGGGAGATAGAGTCTTCATTTTACTGGTTTGGACACTGAAACTCAGAGGTAAAGGGACCTACCTAGGGTAGCACAGCTCCATAGAGATTAAACTCTTCCCACTCTGTAATAGAGCCTTCCTGCTAGGGAAACTGGCTCCCTGCAAGGAACTGAAGGTACCACACAAATGCCTCTTTCATCTGGAGTCCGTTCAAAGAGGCATGGGTATTCTTTGAATCCAAATAGCAGATGAAGAAACGGATACCGTAAAGGGGAGAAAGCCTTTAGGTGCCCATGGATCACCAGCGAGAGCAGGCCACCACCTGTCATACGTGCATGACATACTCCCAATATGATTGCCACTGGCTCCTGCCACTCATGGCTGGAAATTGTAGAAGATGCAGCTCTGTTTCTCCAGGCTTCCTGGGTGCTGCGATGGGGTCATCGAGGGCTGCTAGACATGTAGCCAGCCCCTAGCCAGGCATACATACACTTAGGCCCAAGCAGAGGAGCTGTACTTGTTGGCCCTACCCATGAGGGGTCTGAACCTGCATCATGAGGCTCTACAATGTCTAGGCCCTGGTTCTCCACTTTGGCTAAACATCACAATCACCTGGGGAACTTTGAAAAATGCCAGGGGCCAGGCACCACCTCAGACCAATTAAAGTAGAATCTCTACAGGTGAGGCCTAGGCATCGGGATTCTTTAGAATCTGCTCAGGTGATTGCAATGTGTATCCAGAGCTAAGACGGGGAACTGACCAAATTCAGTGCTAAGAATGGAGCACATGATCTGAGCCATCCTCCTAGCCATAATGATTGGTGCAGGGATTGGCTTGATACCTAAGCCAGCCCAAAACAGCATGAATCACAAGATTTGTGCTGGGAACAAGGGGCAAAGATGGTCTCTCTTCTACTGGGCATACATGAGATAGCATGCACTCTTAGGACATTTTGGTAGTGATTTAGGAGTTCTGAGGGATTATCCAATAACCAAGGAGCAGATAAACCAGAATCACAGAAAGCAAGGCAGAGATGTTTAAACAAAGCAAAACACACCAGAAACTGAAACCTTGATTAGATCACTGAGCTGCTGGATCAAGCTGGACCTGAAGCTAGGAACACTTCTGATCTTTTCAGATGCCTGCGTTTGATGCCTATATAATATCTAAGCCAGTTTATCTTTACTCTGGCTGCATATAAGAATCACTTGGGGAGCAGAGAAGGAGAAGTTTTTAAAGTGCTAAGGCAGGGGGCCTTGTCCCAGATTAACTGAATAAGAACCTCTACAGGTAGAGCCCTGAGCATCACTCTGCTTTAAAAGCTCTCCAGGGGCGCCTGGGTGGTGCAGTCGGTTAAGCGTCCGACTTCAGCCAGGTCACGATCTCGCGGTCCGTGAGTTCGAGCCCCGCGTCAGGCTCTGGGCTGATGGCTCGGAGCCTGGAGCCTGTTTCCGATTCTGTGTCTCCCTCTCTCTCTGCCCCTCCCCCGTTCATGCTCTGTCTCTCTCTGTCCTAAAAATAAATAAAAACTTTAAAAAAATAAATAAATAAAAAATAAAAGCTCTCCAGGTGATTCCAGTGCATACCTAGGGCCAAGAGCCCATGCAATAAAGAGTGGAAGGGCTGGTGCTCCTCTCCCTGTGCTGGCCAGAGCACAAGAAACACAATTCAGTCCTAAGCACCAAACTCTAAGAGGAAAATCAGCATCTGGAGATATTCAGAAACAAAACGGGCTATTGGAGAAACAAAGTTCTCTGCTTGGAACACCCAGCTCCAACTTGTCCTTCTGGAGGGATCCTACTCCTCCTGAGTCGTCTAACAAATTGCCACCATTTGCCAGCAATTGTGCCCGTGGCGGGTACTGTGGCTGTCTTACCCAGACACCCTTGACACTCACCATTACCTCACAGTTGGATTCAAATGTGCCACCTGGAAATGCTTGTGACTTTTGTTTATAACTGTGACTGTCACAAATAGACCCTGACCAGGACGTCTGCACTCTGCCTATGAGCAGGGCAGGCCAGAAGAACCAGGTAGTTAACACCTCCCTGGAGCAGCCCTTAACCAATGGCTGACAAGAGTTGGTGTATAAATACCCCAGACCCATCTCCTTTCCATAGGAAGTACTCCAGGGTGACTTCTATACTGTCTCCCGGACTTCCCCAGTAGCATTGAGCCCTAATAGCCCACAGCAATAATGTGCTCAACAGTGGACCCCTTACTGAACCTCCTTCCGTCCCCTCTCTCATTCCCTATACTTCCCTACCATTGCTTCCTTGGATCCCCTCCCAGATCAACCACTGAACCCCTCATCCATGTGTCAGTGTTGGCTTCTAACCTAAAATGATGAATAAAGCTAACCTAAAGTGATGAACAGGACAGATAAGTGACCTGCTCTTATGAATCTTGTATCTCGCAGGAGTAAATAGACAATAGATCATATGTTTTCAGTAAAGTGACATGAAGAGAATACAAGTATGACACGGTAGAGAGTGACTGGGGTGGCAAGGGAGGCTATTCCAGACAGGGTGGGGAGGGAAGGCTCCTCTGAGTGGAGTTTGATGTGGTCTTGGGTGGACCAGGGGTGGGAAGGATCACCAAGCAGTTACAGAAAATCTGGGCCTAAGCTTGCTATCTTTTCTTGCTCAGGCATTCAAGAGGATATCCCTTGTTCCAATAAGGAAATCATGTCTGGAAATATAGAATCTCACCACAACCCGCCCTATGGTTCTCTAACATCATTTTTCTGAGCAAATCCTCTGAGCAGAGGCCAGTGAGGCCACTTGGAGAGGCTCCTAGGAGGAAGTGTAGATGAGACTGATGGCCACTGTTCGGTGCTAGGTTGTCTATGGATGATATCTTACTTGAATCTCACAACAACTCTGTGAGATAGGTATTCTAGGCACCTGCTTTTCAGACGAAGAAATGATGCCCAAGACACAGAGGGACCTCTCCACATGGCTGAAAATGGGCTTAAAGAATTCCATGCTCCAAAATGTATGCCCAGCTCCATTTCTCAGAAAGCATGAAGACCATTCCCCACCTATTCCTAAAACTAGCTCTAATGATATACAAACACCAGAAGGTGTTGGAAAGCAGCTGCCATGAATCCATTAGTAAAAAGCAATGAAAACAAGTCCATGAATTCAAGCCAAATTACTCTTCCTCTATAGGGAATAATGCCAAGGACATGTGCAAAGATGCCCATATGGTTTCTCAGAAGAGCTGAAATTAGCATGTCCCTCCACATCAAAATAAAGCCCAATCTAAGTCCCAGACCTCCACAAGCTCTGTACTCCAGTCCAGTGACTGCCTGGAGACCAAAAAAATCCAGATCTTGAAGATCAGGGAGAAACCTTAGGGCAGCCAGCCCCACTGAGTGGACTTTCAAGGACCCATGAAACCCTCGGAGCTGACTGCACTCTCAGTTCTAGAAATGGAACACTTGACCTATACTAAGCCAATCATTTTCTCCCATGCCCCTGGCCATAGCAACTTGTCCAGGGGTAGCTTAAGACCTCAGCCAATGCAAACTGCATGACTTTTAGAGTTATTGCTGAAAAGAATGAAACAAAGTCACTCTTCCCTGTTGGACATGAATGAATAAGCACATAGCCCTAGCACATACAGGCAATCATTTTGCAACCTACAGGGAAACCAATCTACAGATGAACATCATACCACAGAAATCAAGGCAGAGAGATGAAACAAATGATTTTTTGGAACTGCTGGATCAAACTTCACCTGAAGCTACACGTACCTCTAGCGGTTTGTGTTGCATACATCGATAAATTCATTTTTTATTATTTAAAGCAGTTTGGAATTTAAAGCAGTTCGGAAAGCAGTCACTTTCCGAAACTTGTGACTTGGCACATGCTAACTGAGCCCCCACTGCTTTATATAACAGATGGGGCAACCAAAGCCCACAGCTACACAGCTGGGTGGTAGCAGAGCTCAGACCAGAAATCTAGTCTGGTGTCATATCCACTATACTGCCCTGCCATCTGCTTTGCAACCATAATATGACAAGAATATTAAATATCATTTACTGAGCACTTATTGCATGCTAAATAATTCACATGTATTCAAGTCTCACTACCCTGAGGTTGGTTCTGTTATTAATCTCATTTACTGATGAGGAAACTGGAGCTCAGAGAGGTTAACTTGGCCATGATCAAATAGCTAATAAGTGACAGAGCAATTTGAACCCAAGACTTTCTGACTGTTGCATTTAACTGCAAGCCAGGAACTGCCAGGTTCAGTGAGATTATGGAGCCAAGAGAATTAAAGAATTTAGTGGCAACCCAAAGAATACATGCCCAGTATAAAGGAGGCCATCTGTCATAGCTCCAGAGATTGCTGTCATATTGCTGGAATGGGGGCCCAGTTATTAGACCTGACAATTCTCCAAGTTGAAAATCTGGATTTGCATGTGAAATCCCCCAACTTTTGTATTAATT